ACAGCATAGGTGTTGCCCACAAAGCCTGCAATGCAATAGGCAGGACACAGATAGGAGCAAAAATGCCTTACATTATCATTAAGAACCTGACAGTTACTCTTTGTTCAAAAGTTTGGCAACGGAGTTAATGTCTCTGTGATTTAAACTGTACCATATTTCTCTCGCTGTTTTTTTTTTTCCCTCCTTTCCACAGCACTGCCTAGAAATCCTTCTGGGCAGGCATATGTGGCTGCAAAAGACCAGACAGATTGGCTCCTCCAACATCAACAGTCTTGGAAGAAGAGGGACAAAGCCTGCAGTCGTCTTTGGGACTGCAAATTGTTTTATATGCAAATTAAACCTTGTAACATAAGTTTCAGCACCAAATTTTCTAGAAGCATGATTCTGGACAACTAACAAGGACGTGTGCAATAAAATAAACAGTGGAAGTAGCTCCTTCAGATTCTTGTCCCATGAATTAGTCACAAGATATTTCCCTATGTATCAAGAAAGCTTACTGTACATGAAGAAGCAGTTGTTGCTACTGACAGGCGGTCAGAAAGCTTAACTTGCCATTTGTCTTTTAAAGCTATTGAATAATCACGCTAAAGCACCCTTTCCATCTAAACCTCTAACCTGTTTGGAGTCAGGGCAGGATGAAGTCTATGAAGATGATTAACTCTCTCTGAAAGCTCTTAATCACCCACCGACAGCGCTGCTAGAACGATCTGCACTGCTGTGAAGACATTCTGCTGCTGGGAGAGAAGGGTTTCAGCTATTAGTGTAAAGTGAAAACAAATAAAGCTAAATATAAACTATATTTGATAAATAATAAGTTTGCTGGTTGGAAAAATAGCAGTATAGAACTTCTGAGAACAAAAAGATGCCAAACAGGATCTTGACAAAGGTTTTTTTTGTTTGTTTGTTTTGTTTTTTTGACAGGCATGCGTAATCTGCTGATCCAACATAAAGGGATATTACCCCATTCAAGTTAACTAACAGAGCAAAGAGAATAAAAATCAATTCACCCCATCTTAAGGCAGTTAGCTTTCCTTCTTTGGTACAGCAGCGTACAAAAGACTTGGTATCACTTGCTGAATGAACACTTTGGAATCTCAGAAATTTTGAGAAGTAGCTACAAACATTGGTTCATAGCTTTCTGAAGTCATGGGCCTGTGTACTCCATGGCAATGTTGACTCACGTTCTACAGGCAAGTTCTCCTGCCCTGCCCATTCTTTTTCCCCACCTTTAACTTAGTTTATGCAACCATTGCAAACTAAAACAGCCTTTGGACTAAGATCAGAATTTGCATGAACATTCACAGTGCAACAGGGTTACAACCAGAGACACCAAAATAATTAGCTTAGCATTTGGCCTAGGTATACAAACGTAGTAACAAAGTTTCCAAAATGTTCCCTCTATATGTCAAAGCATTAGATTATGATAGACCTGTTCTGAAATCAGTTTGAATCTGTCTTTGCTGAATGAGCGAACCTTTTCGCTATATCAGAGCACTGCGAGGCAGCGCTTGTAACCTGGTCTCCAAATAACACTAGTGTATACACAAGACTTGATTTAAATCAGAATAATTTTTAAGTCTCAGATCCAACCAGGATCTTCACATAGGCGGTGAGCATAACTCAAGTCTGATAATAGTGATGTAGCGCTCTTTTGGAAAATTAAGACCTAATTGTTACTCTACCTAAAAGTAACAACAAAGCTATTTTTTCTAGACCATTTATATTTGTTTTTTCATATGCAATTCCACAAAATTATATTACTCCTCCAGGCAGCAAAATTTTTTAGATAATCCTAGAGACCAACCCACGCAAATTGAAAGGTAGCAGGAAGAAGAGCATTGAAATTAGATACATTTTCGCAGTTTTTTTTTCCTCTTACTGAGGGAAGTCTGAAGTATCATCCCATGTAAGAATAAAGCTTTTGCTGTGCTTTTCCAACGCTGCTTGCACAGGTTATTGGTTCTCTCAGGCAATGCCTAGGAGAAGTATCAAAGGGTGGTTTTCTGCATCAAAGATGCTACAATTCCCAGCCTGCGGTTCTCTGAACCACTTTTGTTAACTGTGCCTCCTTTCTGAGCACTAGAACTTTTATACCTGAAATCAAGTACAGCATTTCTCAGTCACACCCAGGCTGCTCCGATCTACAAAAACAAACAGTTCTATGAGGTAAAGAAAATGGATTTTATTTCCTCTCATTCTTTAGAGGACCAAACTATAGAGAAGAAGATACAGTAAGAAATACCAAAGGAAGGTGGATATTTCTTGATCCCCTAAGCCTAACAGGTCTTCACAATCTGTTACACGGTGTTCTGTGAACTCTGAATTATTTGAAGAGTAGTTTCTCCAAAGAAGGAGAAAAAAAAGGAAAAAAAGGAAAAAAGAGGGAAAAAGAAAAGGAAAGCTGGCTCATCATCCCTTATCTGCAGCTTCTGGACTTTATTAGGAGCTGTTAAAAGTCCAGACTTTGTCCTCTATTAGCTTTTGGGTTAGCAATTTTTGTAATTCTCAAAGGATGCTCTGAAATAATACCTTAGGCATGCTTGCTCTGAGCTCTGTCAAAATCTCATCACTGAGAGCTGATATAGGGCTGATGAAGTACAAACCAAAAAACTGGACAGGAATACTTGTTCTACAATATGAGTATCTTCTTAACTCCAATAGCCTTACACCCTAAGGCGGCTAAACTTCTTTGCTAGTCATGATTTCTGCACACTTTTAAAAAATTTATTTGAATACAGTAGGAAGGCACCAAATGGATAAAACACTAACAAGATTCTTCAAATCAAATACCTCACTGACCACTGGGGCCGTAATATCTTCAATTCCCTATGCGAGCTGGTCATTAAAAATAGCACTTTTGCAGATAACATGAAAACTCATTACTATTTCCCACTTCTTGGTAAGTGGGGGGGGGGGGGGGAGCCCTTTGCAAACAGGTTTTGTATAAGTGTTTTCTTAATGGCATATAAATTTGAATAGATGCCACTCCCTACTTTATGCTTCTAAAAGTCAACCACTCCTGTATATTGCATTCAGAACAATGTATTACAACTCAGCCAAAAGCCACATTAATTATTTTTCCTATAGGTAATTTTAGGCGTCTCTGCAATAGAAGATTCAGTCCAAATTACTATAATGGTCTTTTTTGGTTTAAATACATAAATATTGTGTTGTGTACTGCAAAATACAATTTTGCAGATGAGAGATCCAAGACTCCTCCTGTAAAAAATATAAAGACTCCAAGGCACTTGAGATAAAAAGTGAATCAAATTAGCATTGTTATCTCATAAGCAGGTCCTAGTATTCAAGGTTTGCATATGCTAATATCGAACACACAACAGCCATTGTTTGTCTTTACAATCACCACATTGTTATAGCTACACACACCACTGTTGCACCAAGAAAAGAACCTATATAAAACCGAATTCTATTCTACAACACATAGCAATCCTTTATTGCCTCAAAAATAAGAATTATACAATAACTTATAAAAATCTAAGTAAAAACAGCAGAATATTACACATAGAGGAAGTATTTTAAACATGTATGTAACGCAATTAAACATAAAATACTACCATAAAAATGACACTGGTTTTCAATAAAAACTGCCCTGTTTTCTCATTCTAAAATTAGTTTCCATTTTAAACTTCCAGCTTTGCATTAGCGAACGTTCGGTATCTCGCATTCTAAATGTTATTTCCCCTTCTCGCTACTAGATGTTTCCAACAGAGTGCTACTGCAATGTCTCTCTTTGGGATATTAACAAAGAATCAGTGGTCTTCACGCCTATCTTCTTGCCAGATTGTCTTTTTTTTTTTTTTTTTTTGCAAAGTCTTCCCTACTTTTCAGTAGGATACATTTTTATTCATAGTTGCAGAAAGTGTAATAATCTTCCTGCTCATGCTTACAACACAACCAGGATTGGGTTTGCTGGCTGGATCGAAACAAAAAAAGGTGTTTAAAAATAACTCATTTTAGTATTACACAACAAGTTATTCAGTCTTAAGATTCCAGAGCTAATCAGGATCATAACAGAACATAATGCCCATTTTGGAAAAAAAGGTTCCTGGGAAACAGAGTAAGAAATTCAGGATTGGGAGAAAGAAAAGCAGTAATACATGTATTTTTCGTTCAGACAGTTTTGTGCCAGAATTGACTGAAAGCAATACTGAGATGCAAAGCTATCTTTATCCCTTAACAAATTTCTAATCCTAGCTGCTATTTGAACTAATGCAAATTTGAAAGCCACAAACAAAAAGAGCAAATCAGCTTGCGACTCCTATGCAAGAGGAAAAGGTCTAATTACCATCTGGAGGAAAGACAAACATGGTGAAGCATTAGTAACACATGCTTTCATGTGACTTAACTAAAGCTTTTAATATCCATCAGATGGAGGGTGCTCTGCAAGTTTTCAATACTTTGCCTTGTGTTCATGTATAGTTTTGATCAAATAGATTTTGCTTTAAATAAAATATAATCTCAACTGATTAAAATGGTTAGAGAAAAATGGAGCATTAGAGCTAACAATAGGAATACTTCAATCACATATTATATTAAAAGAAAACAACAGCCTAGATACACTCATTCCCTTTAATAATTCTGCAAAAGATCTATAGCAATGTTAAGATATGGAGAAGATGAAATTTTTACTAGACTACTACTGCACTTCAAAAAAACCACAACATTTTTATACTGTCATTTGTTTATTAGGCCATCAATGCAATACAATACTTCAACACTACCCAAAAACTCCTCTTATAGCAAGTTTCAAATTCAATATAAACCAAGAAGTGTCTAGCCACCTTCTTGTAAAATATTATCATGAAAGGAGATTGAAGTTTTTAAATAAATACTTCACTATTATACATTGCACTGTTCAGATAATCAATAAAGATTAGAGAGTAAGTCAATAAAGCTATAGAAATGCCAAGTTCTTGATGCTTTCCATTAAATCTGAGGCACAACTTTGCTTGTCACTCAAATTTAAAAGTACAACTTACCCCTCAAGTTATATATGCAAGCTTGACTGTATTTCAGAGTATCAGTCTTGAAGGTGGTTTTGTAACAGACCAGCTAGAAGCAAGAGGACAAATATATTTCATTTTCGCAATAACGTCATGAAATTAACACAATGAACCTTGAATGCATTTGAACCAATGTGCTTCAGTGACATAGTTATGGTTTTTATTTCTTGTAATATTTGTTCAAATATCTGATTTTTATTCAGGATATCCATCTTTAGATCATGGGAGTGGGGGAGAGTTTCTGACATTTGATTTCAAATTTCGCCTGCTCAACAAAACATTATCAGTTTACTTGGAAACATTCAGATAATTTGGCAACTTTTATATTCGCTTTGCCATCATCCCCAAAGGTGTTGTCGGATAGCAGAACAACTGCACCCTGAGAGTTCTGCTGGGAACGGCGTCTCCATAGGTAGGAACAACAACCCCTGTCACACATCCCTGAGACAATTAATGTCACGTAGTTAAATACTGCATGAGAAAGATAAATCTCTGTAATGGGAAAGGGTAAGCTGCCCTTTTGATGATAATTTTCCCCGTTAAGTACTGAAGAAGCTATGCCAGTTCAGACTAAACACCCAGGTTTTTCTAAAGCCAAAATGAGACTCGATCAATCCAGTATCTAACAGTTTAAACCTTTTTACTGCGAGTGAAGTTTCCAAACACCAAATGTTTCTAAGGCAATTTTTAGATTAACTGGTTCTATGGAAATAGATGAAAAGCAAGAAGTCACATAATAGATTGTTTCAAGGTTATTGATAGGAGCCTGAATATTGATTCAGGCTAATGAGATACGGGCAAGCTCTTAAAACTTGCTCTTTCGTGGTCTAACTGCTGATAATTACTGCCTATTTATATTACATATTACTGATTTATTCCTGTTGTTCATATCAAAAAGTCTAATAAAACAGCAAGCATGAAACTGAGACTCTTGTCTTTTTTGTTCCTTTATGAAGGCAGCTTTAATTTTCAAACGCAGACCGGAAGCACATGTCTTTAAGCTACAGACATATCAACTGTACATTTAATGCAAGGGAACAGGCAGTGTTATATACAATACGGAGTTTCCCATCTCAAGGGCTCTAACAAAAAAAGGGGTTATGTGACTCAATGTTCCTTGGAGGAAACGTACAGTCTTATAGGCCACTTTGATGCATCATAAAGAAATAAAAGACGGTTAAAAAGATATTTTTATATTTCCTTCTTCACCTTGGGTAAAAATAGGTTATTAGCCAACAGGCATACAAGTTCCTGCCAGATTGTACTTAGCATGTCAATTCTGAGATTGAACCTAAGGCAAACACAGAAGCGTTGTTAGGACTCAGAAGTACTGAGCACACAGCTGGTATTGCTCCAACAGAACACAAGAGCCAGGCACAGCACGGCAAGGAGGATGAAGGGGTCCAGAAGATGGACAAAAAGTTAAAAACTTGGCACAAATAGTAAAAAGAAGAAAATATCATGGAGGAAGAATATTCTTAAGGCCTACATATGAGATAGAAAGAGACTAAAAACACTGTGTTATTTAAAATCCAGTGAACCAAAGGGCTCCTATAAGGAAGCAATATATTCAGTACAAGAAGAAAGGAAAATGACTGATGATGAATTGGGATAAGAGACAAATGTTAGACGGGACAATCACCAAAACTTCATAAAGCATAAAGAACGAAGGAAAGTTAGTAAAGCCACAGTTATAAAAGGAAACTTATCACAACTTCATCCCAAGAAATGCAGAACTCCAAGAAAAAAAGGGAGTCAGATACAAAGAAAAGGAAGGCAGGTTTTTGGAAACAACTTCAGAAACAGAAAGTAGACAGAGGAGATCCTGGCAAGAACCAAGAACACAAAAAAAAAAAAGATTGTTAAAAAAGAAGGTAGAGGGTTAAACAGAAGGATCTAGAAGTTGCCACTGTACAGCCTACAGCTGAAGTAAGAGTCCAATAGAGCAGATGAAATTAACTCCAAGAACAGGAAAGAGTAGAAAAGACAGAGCCTATGGAAAAAAATCTCCACATAACTGAAAAGGAAAACACCACATACATAAAGAAAAGAAAACTGAAGGGACAGTGCTGAGTGCCAAAGGTGGTAGACAGATCACAAGGATGACACAAGAAGCACGCTTCAGATTAAATCACAAGCAAGTCACCTGTGACCTCACCATAGTTCAATGAACTGCAAATGTCAGAAACACGACTGGAGGAGATCAGTGAAAGTGTGGGTGGACAAAAAGTCAAAACAATATAAAAATATGCCATTAAATATTTTGAAAGAACTGACGACAACATATAATACAGCAGTTAAAGGACAACTTATGTTGTGAAGAACACATTTCTAATTAAATTTCTGAAGCAAGCATATATTTCCAATGAGAAAAAACTGAAGCAAAGCAATTTAAATGGAACAGAGGCAGAAATGAAAGGAGGGAGTTCGAAACAGTAGGAAGTTAAAGCGATGAAGTCAATTGTGATACTTAGCAGCAGAAAGTATGAAGCAGACTTCTAAATCTTAAAGAGAATAAAAGGATTGCAGTAAGGATTTGCAGCTATTTTTAGGTCAGTTCATTTGATGCACAACTTAAGATGGTTCTTTAACATCAGTCTGCTCTGACATTCTAAGGAAGCACCAAATTTTCCAAATGCATTGCATTAAACCCCTGAAGGAGAACTTTTAATACACTTATAAATCACTTTTACCCTTTTATCCCTACCATCTGGAAACATTCACAGTTACTAAAAACTCCTGCTACCAGAAAAAAGAAGTAGGCTTCATACAGCCTCCTCCATACCAGGAAGTCAATGCAAATTGGGAAGGAATTGCTACTGGCACTTAACCTTCACCTTACAGTTTATTTTTAGGATTGAGTGGCAAGCTGTAACTCCAGAGTAGAAGAATAAGTGAAAAATAGAAACCTGTGGCTCAGTGTCATTTTCAGATATAAAATTTAAACCTTGAATTGCTTTTAAACGACTAAGCAAAAAAAAAAAAAAAAACAAAGTAAAAAAACCCTTCCACATGACTGACTTAATTGTGAACTTCCTGTGGCAGCCTTTCACTTGATATTTTCATATCTTTTATGAATTAAAAGCTTTCCGGAACACAGAGACTATTTATATAAAAGTCTAAAGCAACACACATTTGTAGCACCTAACAATATTTAGTCATTGTTAGGATGACACTGTACTGGCCCAGTTCTACTCTGAAAGAACCTGTTCTATCACATCCATGATAAAAGCAAACTGATATATTACACTGATGCTGTATGTAAACTGCTTACAGTCAACAGTTCATTAAGCAACAGAGCTGAGAAAGAACAGGCCCCTGATATCCCAGTCCCCTAACTGCCAATGTTCTTAAGAGAGCAAGCTTAACTACTTTGTCCCTAAACAGCTCAAGAAATTTTCTTAGTTTTGTGTTTATTTCCAGTTATTATTAAAAGCTCTCAAACCCCTCTGCCCCTCCTGCAACCCTGTGACATAAACACTGAGGCTGAAGAAAAATTAATCCTGCCTAGGTGCTAGGATTTCATGCAATGGCTTTTAGATTCCTTTTTCCTATCCTCTGTCAATTAGTCAGTTCAAACTACTAGAGGCAAGTTAGCCACAAACCACTTTTTATCCAAAAGCAAGCAAGTTAAAAGTCAAAATACTCAACGTAAAAAATAAGTTATTATAGCCATCATTGTGCTGCTATCATCCCACCTGAAGGGGTATCAAAAAAATAAGTATCTAAGCTAAATTGGAGTCAATTGCATGGAAAAAAACTTATGAACAAATTTCTGTGTTACTGTATTTAATTCTAAAGTATCTGCATGAAACTTCTAAATGGAGATAATAGGTCCAGCCAGATCATAGAGCTGAAAGTAAACCAGCTAATCTGGACCACAGCTGTATTTTGGCATTAGCCTTACACACACGAGCAGTCACAGCTTTAATATCCTCCTCAGAAGTTTTGCATCCTGAGCGTGAGTTGTCAATACAGAGGAACAAGAAAACCCAAGATCATCTCTGAACAACAAATAACTGATTGCCACAACAAATTAGCATTGCTTACTAACTCCTCTACAACAAAAGCATTTGAGAGGCCCTCTATTCAGGGAATAGTACTATCCTTGAAAGTGATTTTGTACAGAATAAAGAGGCTAACTCATGATACAACATTGCTACTTCATGCCTAAGCAATTTGCGGCAGGAGCCATCTTCCTGTTCTGGGGCGGGACAGTGCCCAGCACAGTGTGTTCCTGTACACTATAAATACTATTAGCGCTACTAATTACTCCGTATACGATGCCAACAGATTCCTAAGAGGCTTCTATCCCAGCATGCTGCAGCAGGCAAAAGGTGTTAACACATGATGCAAATTTCAATTCCAGATTACCTTTGTGCCCTTATTTCCTTCTGAGCCACTTTTCTGATCTCCACCACACACATCTGTGCTGTTAGACAACTCTTTTGCTTAAATTCCCTTCTTGACTCAGCCTAGCACTTTCTATTGCTTAAAGTCACAATTCTTTCAAGATGACTATCTAGGCTGTCGATTTGACCCCTAAAACTGAGGGGAGGTCTCAATGCCTCGTTATTATCACTGAGCTTACACACAAACTACCCTCCTTAGATTGCAGACCATTGTCATGCTAATAAAGTGGTTTGAGGAATGAAACACAGAACAGGTCTGATCTTTAGAAGCTTTTAACGCCCTGAGTTCATATGAGGCTTAAGTGTTACATGATTATCATAGGGTGCTTGTCTCATAGTCGGATCTCTTAAGTTTCCAGTCATTGCTCTAACTGCAAGATCAACTTTCTGCCTCCCGTCATAGCCTAATTGCCCCTTACCCAGGAGATGGGAACGCCTCTTGCTTTCACGTGAAGAAATATCACACATTCTGTGGCATATAAACAACACGACCATTAAAATACAATCATACTTCAGGCTGATGAAGAAACCACTTATGGGAAGCGAAGGTGGTGAGATAAGGAAAAAAAAAACCAAGCCTGTCCCACTGATTAACTCTCCCAGGATACCAAACGTGCACAGCACAATAACATCACACCCTGCCGTGACTGAACGCTGTGGCAGGCAGGGAGCAGGTCTACAAACAGCGCTGG